CCACGTGGGTTTGTTTGTTTGTTTTTACCAGTTGGGGGCATAGCAAGTCAACAAATCTGCTCACACATTGCTCAGAGAGTGTGTTAGTCCGGGTGGACTAGGGAAACAAATCCAGAGACACTCAGATGTGTGTAAGAGAGAACTTTATATCAAAGAGCAATTGCACATTAAGAAAACATCCCAGCCCAGTCCAGATCAAATCCATAAGTCTGATATTAGCCCATATGCCTGATACTAGTCTATAAATTCCTCTTCGGACTCCTGCAACACAGGCAAGGATGCCGAATGCAGGAAGATCACAGGCCAGTGGGTGGGGAAAGTCTTGTGGATGCAGTGGCAGTAGAAGCATCTCAGCGCTGGTATAGGTCTCCAGGTGGCTCCTCCAGCTCTAGGGCTCTGGCTCCATCAGTGTAGCTCCATGTGGCTTGTCAACAGGAATGTCTCACAGGGAGACGAAGCAGACAGAAAGTGTATCTGGCCTCCAGTGAGCTATTTATCTCCATCACGCCTCCAAAATGAGGTCATCAAGCTGCGACGCGATTGACAGGCTAGACTCCACCCCTTCACTCTTAATCGCTTCATGTTGACAGCAGATTGTGTAACTCCCACAGAGATAGTGTCCATACATGTTCGTCAAACCTTCAGCATCTAGTGGAGACTCTGAAATGGTACCACCAATAACAGTAAAGTACTGTTGTGCTTGTTTTTAGTGCCTGCTTTGCAGTTTCCTGCTTGCTGATTGCATATGGAGCAAATAACCCAAACTGTGAGTACACTCTTCCTCCGCCCTGTCTCCAGAGCCCGGGAGAGGCTGTCCTGGCAGTGCTATTGGGCCTGGTTGGCCCTGCTTGAGTTAGAGGGGTCTGGCGGACCGTCACCTAGCTGAATATCTCAAATGGGTAGCTGAGCAAGAGAGCAACTGCCAAAAGTCCAAGAGGAGCGCTTAGGGTTTGCCACCCTCCTCTCTCCTCCCCAAGCCAAGCCTGCCCCTGACAGCCTCCTGAGGCTAACTTGAGGGACGAGCTCTCCAAATCAGGCTAGCTGCTGGGGTGCCCTTGGGTGTCTGCAGGAGCCATGGGCCAAGTCCTCTCGGAGAAGATGACTTGGAACCCACCTGGTTTCTTCTCCTGGCCCCCCAACCTGCTCAGGTGGAGCCCTTGCTTCAAGGATTTCAGAACAAACACCAGCAGGGCAGTTGGGTTTCACTTGAATCTCGTCCGGGCTCAGCTCCTGCATGTTGGACCAGAGGTCATTTTGGCTTGAGTCCAGTGGCTTCTGTAGGCTCTTGCCTGCTTAGTGAATGGCTAGTGAGCAGTGGAGAGCAGAGACGTACCTTTGTAAGAGTCCCAGACCAGAAAACCGCTGCCCTTGAGTTGATTCCAACTATCGTACAGAATCCTTGTCATCCCTGTGGTTATCGGGCCAGCACTTGACCCACAACGCCACTAGGGCTTCTCTGCCCAAGGCCAAGCCCCGGGCATAGGCGGGAAGGCGAGTCTGTTCTGCCTCCTCAGGTGTGGGGCGCTAGCCTCTGGTGGGTTGCAGTCTATTCAGTTGACTTTCATCGGTGCCTGCTCCACGCCCTGAGGCTCTTCGGTGGCCACCCCCCTCAGGGAATTTCTGTTCTTTACAGCTCTCTCCGTGCTCATCTTCATCGCCCTGGCCCTGAACGGCTTTGGTGGGATGTGCATGACCTTCACGTCATTAACGGTAAGGGTCGGTTTTCTTAAGTCACCTACTTGTGAATTCGAGGCAGCTCTGAGGGCGTCAGTTCCCTTGCCTTCCGCTTCCATGTGCCTGACAACCCCAAACAGTCAAGGGGCCGTTGGCAAAGTGGCCTGGCAGCAAAGCCAGGTAATGGCACCCCAACTTGGGGAGGCTGGCAGGCAAGCTTGAAGACCACAGGACACACCACAGCCTTCAGAGCGGGCCCATCCCCGGCCCAGCTCTGAGCTCAGCTCAGTTCATTAGTCTTGGCCCAGGGCAGGTGGGAGCGGGGAGGGCCAAGCCTCCATCCACTTCCCTATGCTTTTTCCTGGCAGCCATCACCATCCCCACCGTCTCCGGGAACTCAGGCTAACAGTGCAACCTATAAACAGGTTTGGGGAATTCCTTGGAATTGCCCCAGCCCTTGACCTTTGTCTTTGCCCAGAATGAATGGGCACACTCAGGGGAGGGGTTGTGCCACCATTCTGCCTGGCAGTCATGCACCAGGACAGTTAGCCTCCTGGGAAGGGAGACGTTTTGTTTTGTTCCAACACGCCTCCCACCCCCAGGATGCCTCTTTACTGGATGCGCAGGAAGGCCTTTTGAAGTGGGAGAGGCTGAAGGAAGGTGCGGGTTGAAAGAAATGAAGTCAGAGAAGGCCTGGCTCAGGGGACAGGACGGCGCTCTCTGTAGGCAATCCTGATCAGGCCCGAGTGCCATTCAAAACCGGGCACTGGGAAAGGACAGTGATGGGCTCTTCAAAGAGCCTTTGGTCCAGTGGGAAGACTTGACCTGACCTGACTTCCCCGTGAACACGTCTTTGTGACCCAGCATTTAGCATTCTGATCTGCAGGGCACTCGGAGTTCTGACTCCCTCCGTCACTAGTGGGCCAACAGGGGCATCTGGGCTTCTTGAAAGGAACACAAGGAAATCCTGGCATCTCAGTGACCACTCGCCTATAGGCTGTGAGCCGAGGCCAGGCCACAGCCAATGTCTGTCTGTCTGTCTGTCTGTCTGTCTGTCTGTCTGTGTTTTTGAGCACTTCATATGCAACCTCAGAAGCCCTGTGGGGCAGCTGTGCTCTGTCCTGTTGATGTTGTCAAGTGCGCTCGGGTTGGCTCCGACTCCCAGCATTGCACAACAGAAGGAAACACTTCCCGGTCCTGCGCCATCCGCACAGTGGCTCTTATGTTGAGCCCGTCGTTGCAGCCACGGTGCCAGTCCATCTTTTTGAGGGCCTTCCTCTTTTTCGCTGCCCCCCTCTGTCCTGTAGGGTCACTCACTGTGCGTCAGAATCAACCCAGTGGCGGTGGGCTTGGTTTGGGGTGCTGTGGTTTGGATGAAAGTTTACAGAACAAGTTGAACAACTTGTTCACGGTTTGCGTTACGACTGTAGTGTCAATCACATCAGGTGACAGCAGTCAGTCCTGGATTCCCTGTCTCTTTTCACCCATCTTGCCAAGCCCCTTCCTGCCTTCTGAGCCTTGTTTGGGGACACATGCTGCCCCGTGGGTTTTGCCTGGTTGATTGTTGTGGTGAGCCGGTCACTGCTGCTACTATTCATTTTATAGGCCTGTCTGCTCTTTGGCTGAAAGGTGATTCCTGGGGGTGGGTTAAGTCCAAATCGGAAGGGCATCTAAGGGTCCTAATCTCAGTGGTTCCATTAGTCTCAGACCAGAAAGCCTGGTCATTTTTTATGAGTTGGGATTTTGTCCTATGTTTTTCTCCCCTGCGATCCAGGACTTCTATTGTGAGCCCAATCCGTGCAGTTGGAGGTGGTAGCAGGGCACCATCTAGTTCTACTGGTTTCAGGGAGGTGGAGACTGGTTCGTGTGGTCTGTTTGTTCTTTGGACTAATTGTTTCCTTGAGGCTTTGCTTTGCTTCATTCTTCCTTGCTCTGGGGAGGGAGAAGACCAATGTTCATGAGATTTTAAGACCCCGATTGCTACCCACCTACGTAGGATGTAGAACACAGAACATTGTCTCTATGGACTCCGTTGTGCCAGTTGACCTAGATGTCTCCCAAGGCCATGGTGCTAAACCCTCCATCCCAGTGACTCAATCCCTGAAGGCAGCGATTCTCACCTTCCTCATGCCACGACCCTTAATATAGTTCCTCCTGTTGTGGTGACTCCCCAACCATAAAATTATTTTCGTTGCTGCTTCATCACTGTTATTTTGCTACTGTTATGAATTGGGCGATCCCTGTGAAAGGGTCGTTCAGCTGCCAGAGGAGTCTCGACCTGCAGGTCGACAACTGCTGCCTTAAGGTATTTGGCTATGGCTAAGAAGTGTGCATAGCTGTGCCCCCGTGTATTCGACTGTCTGTGTGGGTATATCTGCAGCACATATACTTATGTAGAGATATCCTCTGCCAAACCTATGTGTGCCCCTGGCGTATTTCCATGCCCCAGCTCACATCTGTGCAGCTTACACATCTTACCTGTGTATCCACTCCTAAATTATTGTTATCACATTTACCGTTGTTGCCTTTTACGCTTGCGTGCCTCCAGTGTCTTCTTTTGCCTGCGTTGTGTTGTACTGACTCCCCCTTAGGTATAGGGCCTTTCCCTTCACCCGAGTTAATCGAGGTCTACCAGCTACTTAGTGATTGCTCCTCTTTTCCTCTCTCATCCCTGGCCACCATCAGAGAGCGCCTGTGCATAAGCCTTTCTCTCGACTGTTTATAATAGTGGGCGCTCATGGTGCTTGTCCTTTTGTGACTGACTTACCTTGCTCAGCAGAAGGGTTCATCCCCAGGCTTCTTCCACGTCACGAGGTGTTTCAAGGATCCGTGATTCTTTAACACTGCGCAGTGTTCAGCTTTGTGTGTGATGGGCCCTTGGGTTGTTTTCATCTGTTTGCTGTTGTGAATAATGCCGCAGTGAAGGTGGGCGCGCCTAGATCGGTTCCTGCCACGGGCCTTACTTCTCTAGGGTATGTAACTCGTAGCGGAATTGTCAGTCTTCCCAATTCCTCTCGGCCTGCCCTTCCCACCCCTTGCTTTGGTAGCTTCGTCGGGGTGGAAGGCTCAGTGAAAGAGATGCCAGGTGAGGCGTGTGGGATGCTCAGGGAGTCAGTGGGTACACAGGCGGTGACACACACCACCCTGGGGACCCTGGCTTCCTTGCCACCGGCGGTGGTGCTCAGAGGAGCTACTTTCTTCTCTTTGGTATATTTTTCAATCAGGTCACTAAATAGACACACAGAGAGGCTTTAAAGAAAATGAGTAGATAGATTGTATCATTTCTGCAGTTTCACTTTTCCATGAACTTTTTGAAGCGCTCTCTCTCTTTCACACATACACACACACACACACACACACAGAGATGCTGATAAATTCTCCCCTCTCAAATTCCTAGGGACAAGCAAATGTTGAAATGGTGACAAATATGTTATAACTCAAAAGTACACGGATTCCGGTAACTAGTGTAAACGAGAAACACGAGTCATAGTTGTTTGTTCTTTGACAGGGAAAATGACAAAGTCTCTCTTCGAGATGGAACATGAAAACCTGGCGGGCATCCCATCATTTTAGTCATGCCGGGCCTGTGTCAGGGCAGTTCTGAACTGCACTGAAAAACAACCCTGAACTTGAGAAGCATATGCTCTGAAATGCAGGAAGCTACATGATTGTAATAAAGCCAAAGACGAATGGGGGAGACCGCCATATCCCAAGGCCCCTTTAGGACAGCCTTTCAAATGAGTTACATAATTGCTGCCCAAGAAACTTTTAGGCAGGGCTAACAGAACCATGGAATCTCCCGGCTGTGCTAACCGTTTGGCTAACACTCTCTGTTGCTGACCGAGCTCACCCAAGAGGATCCTGGGAGAAAGTCCTGGTGGTCTCTTTCCCAAAAGATCATCCATTGTAAACCCTGTGGAGCGTACTTTGACTTGGACACACGGGGTCTCCCTGAGTCAGGATCCATTCAGCAGCAATTGGCTTTTTAGGGGGAAGGAAGGAAGGAAGAAGGAAGGAGGAAGGAAGGAAAGAAGGAAGGAGAGAGAGAAGAGAGAAAACCAACCGAAATCCATTGCCACCAAGTTGACGCCGACTCCCGGCCCCTGTGTGTGTCAGAGTAGAGCTGTGCTCCCTCCATAGGGCTTTCCCACTGGTCTCCTGAAAGTAGACCACCAGGCCTTTCTTCCCAAGCTTGGGCCACAAGAATTCTTTTTAAGATTATTTAAACAAATGAACAAAGGTTTTCACTTTAAAACCTCAACATTTCAGAAAGGCTGTGAACTCTCTAAGCCTACCTCCATCCGTGTGGGATGTAATTCCTCAGCTACCTTTTTTTAAAACCTGCTTTATTATCAGTGTTAATCTCTTTTCCATAAATACTGTTACACAGCCTTTTCACATAGCAGTATATCTCTGACATCTTTTCCTGTCATAACTTAGTGATCCCCTTGATTATTTTGACCTCTAGAGCTCTACCTCACTAGCAGGCAGTACCATGTAATTATGTGCTATAAACATACCATAATTTATTTCCCATTAATGGGCACTTAGGTTGGTTTCGAGTGTTTCTGTGTATGAATGCTGCTGAAGCGAATATGTACATTTCTGTAAGGTGAATTCCTGGAAGTGGAATTGCTGGGCCAGAGGATCGGCATGTTTCAACTTTGACTATAAATATAGACTGCTACCAAAAATAAATAAGTAATAAATATAGACTGGCAAATAATTGTCTTCCGGAAAGGTTATAGACCGATACAATCCTACCAGCATAAAGGAAAGTTCCCCACCCCCATGCCACCCCATCAATGCGTTTTAACCATCGGCTGCCAGTCTGACCTGACAGGATGTGATACTGTGTGGCGGCCCTCTGTAGCTCCTTCAAATGATCAGGGAGGCCCGGTCTTCTCGCTACTCTGTTGCTTCTTCGTATTTCTTCTGGGCAGCATTGCTTCTTCGTGCCGATTTTTTCAGAGGATTGTTTATTTTAAAATCTGTTTAATTGATTTGCAAGCGTTCTTTCCTGCATAAAGAAATTG